GGTATTCTAAAAAATCTTTTGCTAAAATTTAAGCAAATTCTACCTATGGCATCCCTTCAGTTCCTAGCTGAGAAAGCCTATGAAAGAAGGACATGAGATTAGCCTTTCCATGACCTTCTTCAGATGTTCATTAACCATCTCTTTAATATGTTCTAGAATCTTACCAGGAATTGAAGTCCAGGCACTGGCATATAATTCATAGACTCTGCTTTCTTGAAAATGGAGATACTTGCCCTCCTTCAGGTCTTGTTAAAGGAATAATTTTTTAGCTTTGAAGAGAACTGAACATGCCTGTAGTCAGATGGGAAAGAACCAATCAAGAGGAAGGGTGGGATGATGCATGATAGAAAGAGAATGAATTCTATGGCTGTAATAAGATTTTGTAGGAAGGGGAATTTGGGATCAAGGGCATAAGAACCAGCAATGAGCAGGCCTTTTCCTTTGAGAGAACAGGGAAGAAGAGAATAGATGAAGATGCTGTAAAGTTTTGATGTGAGGTGGAAAGAAGCTAGCTGAGGAAGCTCTAGTAAAATGGATTCCATTTACCCAGTGAAATGGGAAGCTAGTGCATATGGAAGCATGGGGAGATGAAGTCAAAGTTGGAGACTTGAGGAGAGAGGGAAAATTGTAGAAAGAGACTGAATACACTAGAATTGCCAAGTAGCAGTCAAGGTTCCACTGAAATTACAGTATGCACAATGTTACTGGGAGAAATCAGCTGGATTTCATAACTTTCTCCACTAATGCTTAATAACCTGGAAGAGTGATAATTATGATGGTAAGGGTCACCCAGAGTTGGAACAGGTCAAGAGATTCTAGGGTGGTGCCTGGTGATTTACTAGGGTCACAGGCCTCTGGGTCACATTGCTCTCCAGATAGCCTTTCCTGTTGAATTTCTAGCTGCAGTCAAATCCAACTGAAAAGTCACTCCATGTAGAAACTCTTGACAGTTTTTCTTCCTCTTCCCCCAGCTAGCCTTTCCCTAACTGTGACCTCATTTCTGCTCTTTACTTCCACCTTTCTGACTCACTTGTATGATTATTTATGTCTTTTCCCCCTACTAGCATTTAGCACCTACTAGAGCCCCCTACTAGTGAATTTAGGAGGATTCTTTCTAAACTTCATAGCTCCTCCAACCCAACACTAAATATAGTACTGCACACAGAGTGAATTTAATAAATGTTTGCTGTCCTTGGCTTCCAGAACCCTGTGCCTTCCTTGATCTCTTGGTTCCTTTGTCTACATCCCACCTAGAATCAAAAGCCTTGAGTTGTAGTCTCAGTTCTGCCATTTGCTACCTCTGTGACCTTGGGTAAAACACTTCACCTCAGTCCTCAACTCACTAAATAAAGGATTTTGATTAGATGATCTCTAGCCTTTCAGCTCTGAGTCTCCATGGTTCTCCCATATCTATAGAATGTTTTCCCTTGGATGTTCCAACATCACTTGATAAGTCTTTTGTTTTTACTTCAATTGTTTCAGCAGATACCTGTCTACTACTAGTTAAGCCATTCTTATGCAACAAGTGGGGGGAGGGGAAGTTTAAGGTGACAAATTGACTGGATTTGATAATGCAGACAGTATTCCATGCTGGTAGTTCCTCACTCCTCCACTGAAAAGAGGAATCATCTATTCGTTGAAAACTAGGTCCATCAGCTTTCTTCCCAACTTACCCATTTCCCTGTGTCTGATCAACAAGCATTTATTAAGCACTTACTATGTGTTAGACACTGTGCTAAGCACCATCAATATAAAAAGTCTGTGCCCTCAAGGAGATTACAATGTAATGTGGGAAACAGCACACAAACAATTGTGTATGAACAAGATACATACAGGATAAATCGGAAATAATCTCTGAAGGAAAGCACTAAATTAAGGGCGACAGAGAAAGACCTCGAAGATGAGATTTTAGCTGAGCCTTGAAGGAAGCCAAGTGGCAGTGATGAGGAGGGACAGCATTCCAGAACTGGGGGAGAGCCAATGAAAATACATGGAGTAGGGAGATGGATTGTCTTATGAGAGAATAGCAAGGAGGTCAGGGTCACTCAATTAAAGAGTACATGGAAGGGAATAAGGTGTAAAGATTAGAAGGGCATGAAAGGGCCAGGTTGTGGAGGGTTTTAAAAGCCAAAGAGGAATTTATATTTGCTTCTAGGGAGCTACTGAAGTTTATTAAATAGGAGGGTGACTTGGTAAGACTTGAGCTTCAGGAAGACCAAAATGACAGCTAAGCAGAAGATGGACTGTCACAGGGAGAGCAGAGTCAAGGAAACCAACCAGATGGCTATTTCAATAGTCCAGGTAGGAGGTGATTATTGTCTGCTTCAGGTTCGTGGAGAGAAGTGGGTATATGAGAGATGTTGTGAAGGTAGAATGGATGAAACTTGGCAAAAGATTGGATATTGGGAAAGGTGGGATTGAGAGAAAGGAATTAAGGACAACACCTAGGTTTTGGGGGTAGCATGGGAGTATGGTGGTACCCTCGTCAATAATAGGGAAATTGGGAAGAGGGTAAAGTTTGGGGATAGAGAATGAGAATGATTTTGGACAAGTTGAGTTTGCAATGTTTGTAGGACATCCAGTTTGAGATGTCCAACAGGCAATTGAAGATGAGACACTGGAAGCAGAAAGGCTGGGTTGAATAAGTAGAAGCGAAATACCATCATAAAGAAAAATAATACAGGGAGAAAACAAGAGCGACTAAGACAGAGCCTCAGAGGCCATCCATGGTTAGTAGGTGCAACCTGGATAAAGATACAGCAAAGGAGCCTGAGGAAGAATGGTTAGACAGGGAGAACCAGAGAGCAGTATAATCAAAACCTAGAGCAGGCCTGCACAATTGTAGCCCAAGGCTGCATTTGTGGCATGCCAAAGGATTTCCTCTACCTACAAGGGATGTTTTCCTCTACATTTTTCACAAGCCACAATCTGGCATGCTGCAAGTGGCCTGAGGGCTGTAAGCCGACCACTGGCCACCAGCTGTGTATGCCTGACCTAGAGAAATGGGAGTATCAAAGAAAAGACAGTGATTGCTAGTGTCTAAGGCTGCAAAGAGATCAAGGGGGATGAGGATTGAAAAAAGGACATTAGATTTGGCAATTAAGAGATCATTAGTAACTTTCGAGGAAGTAGTTTCATTCAAATTATGAGGCCAGAAGCGAGACTGAAGAGAATTAAGAAAGAAGAAAAGAAATGAAGACACTGATTATAGACAGCCTTCTCAAACTTGGCTACAAAGGAGAGAGATGGGACAATCACTAACAGGATAGAAGAGATCAAGCAGGTTTTTTTTTTTTTAACAGGAAAGAAGAGATCAAGTAGGGTTTTTTTTTTTGAGGATGGGGAAGACATGGGTGTGCTCATAGGCAGTAGAAAAGCAGCTAGTATAATGTGGTTTGAGAGGTTTAGGGACCCCTCAAGGACTGAAGTACAGAACAAGGTCGTCTGGAATGAATTCATGGACTCAAGCATTGTTTAAGTCAAGTTGGCAAAGGCTTAATATAACGCTAATATGGCAGTCAGAACTCCTTAAGAGATTCTGCTATCTAACAGGAATGATGCAAAAGCTTATATAGGAAAAGTAGTGGATTGTGTGCCAAGTATGCTAATTAGGTGATAACATACAACCTTAGTCACATGCATTATTGTCACATGCATTATTTACTACTGGAAACTGGGGTTGCTAAGGGGTGTATTTTTGGTCTGTTACATCTGCAAGAAGATAGCTTTGGGAGTTGATGCCTATAACTCGACCTCCAGATTATATATGATAACTGTGGGAATCAGTACATGACAGTTTTGTTGATTCAAGATAATCTTGTTCACACAAGTGCAACTCTACAGAGGACAGCTTGTTCTTGTAACAGGGAGAGGTAGTGAGATAGTTTACCTCACTGGGGCCCACTCAAGAGTTATTGCCAGAAATAGGGTCTTTGGGCTGGGGAGAAAACTGTCAGGGATAGTGTTTCAAGGCTAGGGAGAAATATGATCTTGGAAGTGTGGTCCAAGTACAAGTACCCTATCAAGCAGACTGGGAGAGACTGAAGATGATTGAGAATAGGAATGATGGAGCAAGTAATCTGCTGGAGAAGACAGGATGAAATGGGATCACTCCTGCATGTAAAATGATTGGCTTTGACAAGAAGGGCCATCTCTTCATGTGAAACAGGGGTGGAGGAGATAATGGCAAAGTGCCATTGAGATGTAAGATGAAGAGGGGAGAACAGGAAGCAAGCTCTTAGCAAATGGCCTTATTTTTAAAAGTTAAGGTTTTAAAAGTGAGGAAAGGTTCTTAACTGAGAGGATCAGACACGGAGGAGTCATGGAAGGTTTAAATCACTGTGTGGAGTGGGATCATCACTTTGATAAGGGAGGTATAGTGAGGGCCCAGTTGAGATTACGTAACATGATGTAACATGAATTTGCAGTGGGTCCAGTCAACCTGGTTTTCTGAGTTTTCCTCAGCAGCCTATGGAGCAGCAGAAGCAGGGGGTGGGAGTAATTCAAAATTGAAGTTCAAAAGGGCAAAAATAAGGGAACGAGAGACCCAAGAGAAGAGGACAGTGTAAAGTTGAACTGGTTTACTATGTAGTCAAGATAGGGAAGGGAGAATGTAGGCAATGCAGGGATGATGGGAAAAACTGAAGGGCAGAGGAATTGGAGGCTGCAGTGACAATCAAAAACAGTGTTAGGGATTGTAAGGAACAAAGGTGTCATGATAACAGATGGATTCCTCCCTCCTTTTCAAAACCATTTTCAATCCATCATCAAATGTTGATGATTCTTTCCACGATGTTTATTGGATTGGCTCTTCTTTCTACTTGAATTCATTTGGCATTCTTTTTCTTTGAAATAGATCTCATTGATCTCTTCAGGCTGGGATTACAGGCTACCCAGGTCTCCCCCAGAGCCAAGTTTAAGTCAATACACACCAAAGTGGTTGTGAGGAAGAGTGTGGGTGAAGTCTATGGTGTTAGGAAACAAAATAACAGAGGGACAAATCAGCAGCTGGCTCTTTATTTGGAAATAAGCAGGAAGGAGAAAGGGCAGATCAGAAAAGACCAAAAATTGGGGAACTGGACATAATGGCCAGTAGAGCTTTGGGGTAGGCTGTTATGATGGAAGCAGCATATTTGAGGAATCAGAGTCATACTGGAACTTTTTTTTTCTCCTTTTCCCTGCCCTCTCACAGCCAAACCTGAAGTTTTCCAGATTCTCCCAGGGAAGTACTGTAAATGGCCCTCCGAAATCTTTCTCATCCAATTTTAGGGTTCCTGAAGCCATTCATCTGACATGGTCTTGACTTCCAGAGTTGGCTAACTCTGGTCCCAGGCATATGGCATCTGGGAGCAACAGGACCCTGGAATCAGTTCCATGTTCTCTAGCAACTGGACACTCCTTGATACAACAACCACAGCCAAAAGGCACTTTTCTCCATGTTACTTTGGGGGACTGCTAAGGTCCCTTAGTCAGTTAGTAATTCCTTCCTGGAAGTCTTTCCTCCTGGGAAGGGAAGTAGAGAGTATCTCTTCAGAACCCCTTTCACTCCTACCATATCCAACCCCTGGCTTTTGGGTCCCATTTCCATGAAGCAGCAGCAAGTTGCCATGAACTTTTTTAACCGATTTCCATCACCTTAGGCTTGGCAACTAGAACAGCGGTAGTCAGCCTCTTGGGCAGCCCGGTAGCTGCAACCTGCGCAGGCCACATGGAACCACTCATCACAGCCATCACATTGGACCCAGGCCACTGTCTCTTCCTGGGGTGGTTGGCAGCTGGGGGCTGCACAGGGCTCCCCTCCCCCAACTGGAGGGGGGACTGAAGTCCGAGATGACAGGTACTTCCGGGGACGGCCACGTCGCTTTCTGAAAGGGGATTTGGTGGAAAGACACAGAAAAATCCTGAACAAGGGAAGGTAGAAATGCGCTCCTATTCCTAGGGATGAGTTTAGGGTCCAACCTGATTTAGTGTGGCAGACAACAGGAAGTACTTTCCCCCATTTCTGAGTAGAGCACTGGCACAGTGGAAAGAATGTTGATCTGGTGGTCAAGAGGCCTGAATTCATATTCTGACAGTAATACTTACTTGCTGTGTGACCCAAGGGCAAATCAAAGGCTACCTAGTCCAAATTCTCATCCTTCATAGGAGGAAAACAGTGCCCGCAGAGGCTGTGACTTGCCCAGAGTGATACAGGTAGCAAGTGGTAGCGGCAGATTTTGAACCCAAGCCCTCTGTGTCCACATTCAATGCTCTTGCCACTGTACCACACTGTCTCTCTATGAAAAAGGGCCAGGAATGTGTATATGTGTGTATGTTTAAACGCTATCATTTAACCTGAAGCCATTTCTTCATCTATAAAATGTGGATAATACTTGTTACCTCAGTGAGTTATGAGGTAAAAGCTCTGTAAATCTTCAAGTACTATACACTTTTCTTTCTTTCCCATGTCTACCATTCCTCTCTTCCTCCCCACTTTTGTTCTTATTTCCTCATAGTCCCTACCAAGCTCCTGTTTCTTCTTCTGTCTTTGTCTCTTAAGACAGAAGTTGTTAGGCATCTGTAGAGTTGAATGGTGAATATGGCTTATTGGCCTGGAGTTTTTCCAGAGCCTTCTCTCCCCTTCCTCTCTTGGGAGCATTCCTTCTCTCTTCCTGAGCCAGAGGGGAGAAAGAGCTCCCCCCAGCTCAGGTCCTCTCACAGCAAAGGTGTTTATGTGCACACATGTGCGTGAAAAGGAGGAGGTGAGGGGATATGATGGCAGGTTCCAGAGAACAAAGATGTTGGTAAAGATGGGGACAGCCCTAAGTTCCCTCTGTGTCTCTGAAGTTAGGGTGGTCCCCCACTTACCCACAGGGAGTGACTGGAATCTTCATTCCTCGAGGCTTCTTCCTGGTTTCAGCCAGAACTCTGGGAGGGCTCTCCTCAGTTCCTCCCTCATCCTCTAGCTCAGCCAGCACCTTGTGTGCCGACTTCCGCCGGTTCCGCGGGGCTGGAGGTGGGGTGGGAAGGGTGGCCCCCGCCTCCCTAAAGGTCACAGGAAAAGTCACGGCCTGACCTCCACCCTGGGCCCTGGAGAATGTAAGGGGCTGAGGCTGGAGTTTGCTGAGGCTGCCAATGGAGCTGAGAATCAGGGTAGCCTTGGGAGCAGGGGAGAGGGTGCTGAGGGGACGCTGTGGGGCCCCCCAAGGGGGCAGCACAGGCCAAAAACCACCTTCACTTCCTGATGCGCCCCCAGCTCTGGGGACAGTAATAGCAGCAAAGTCCTGGGGGCGGACTCGGACTCGCTGGAACATGAAGTAGAACTCAGGAGGGCTGGCCCCCACAGGCCCCTTAGGGCCAAAGGTTAGGAGGTCACCATCATTCAGTTGCAGTTGGTGACCCCTGGGGAGCCGGATATTGTTGACCAAGGTGCCTGCAAATAAGAGAGGGAGTGGGGGAAGAAGAGAGAGAGAGAGAGAAGGAGAGAGAGAGAGAGAGAGAGAGAGAGAGAGAGAGAGAGAGAGAGAGAGAGAGAGAGAGAGAGAGAAGAAACAGATGAAGAGCAGAAAGGCAGAGAAAAAGAAGGCAAGACAACGGTCAAAAAGTCATGAAGAATACCCAGGTTTCCTAAGGTGAAATTGAGAGGGTTAAGGAAACCATGGATATCCTCTCCTCCCACTTCAGCCTCACCCAGACTGTAACCTCAAGCTCTTAGAGGACAGGGACTGTTTTGTAAACTGGTAAAGCTGAAAGGGGCTTTATCATTCATTTAGGGCAGAGAAAGGGACCTGTCATAACCTGTTCCATAACACAGCAAGTCAATAAGCTGGAATTTGAATCTGCATCTTGATTCTATAAGCAGTGAGTTCACAGGTCTAAGGGATTTGCTTCTCTCTAGTTTCCTGTCTTGCCTGGCTCCTGATGAACTGGGGAGATGGGTTCCCCCAATCTCTCTGCTCACCACTCCTGGATGTTTCCTAACAAAGTTGGCACAGAATGGAAAGAGTTAGGAATTCTTCCCCAGTCCTTTTAAAAGCTTATTCTGTAAAGCCTCAGTCATTGTTGACAATAAGAAACCAATCTGGCTAGTTAGAAACCCAGACCTGTTTTGTAAACTGGTAAAGCTGAAAGGGGCTTTATCATTCATTTAGGGCAGAGAAACCCAAACAGGGACAGTCCTAGTTTTGGGATTTCCCCCATCCCACAAATATGGACCCTAGGGCTTCTGAGGCACAGAAGTACCTACTCTTTCTTTTGAGTCAAACATTAAAAAATCTTTTAGGTCAAGAGGAGCCTTTTCTGAAATCTATGGACATCTAGGTGACTTAGTGGACAGAGCAATGGGCCTGGGGTTAGGAAGACCTGAGTTCAAATCCAGCCTCTTATGAGCTGTGTGACCCTGGGTAAGTCCCTTAACCTCTGTTTGCCTAAATCCACTGGAGAAGGAAATGGCTACTCCAAGGGCCCGTGGACAAAAAAGGCCATGGGGCATGAAGAGTCAGACACAGCTGGATGGCTGAACAACAACACAGTCAGACCAAAGAAAAATACTAAAGCTTTGGGAACCTGGACTACTAGTGAACAGCAGAGGGAGTATGTCTACCTTGGAGATGTGATCTTAAAAAGTCCCTATATTTATTTAATTTCATTGCCAACTCCTTGGAAACCTGTGCCAGAGTTTCCCTACCTTTTCTCTTCTCTTCTAGAATGAATCCCACTCACCCTCCCCTTTTTTTCTTGCTCCACAATAACATCTTTACCTTGTGTACAGTCGCCTTGGTGCCCTGTTTTCTACTTTCCAAGGTGAAAGAGCTTGCTATTTTGCTAAAACAGGGGCAGTGTGTATGGAGTGAACTTCGGTTACCCTTTGAAATTTACTAACTATGGGACACTGGGTTAAGCATAGTTAGTACTCAGTTTCTTCATCTGTATAATGGGGAATAACAAATACCCTTACCCCGTAAGCCTTCCCTATAACAAAGATAATAATATTTACACTATATACTTCACAGGATTGCTGATAGGAAAACGCCAATAAACCTTAAAGTCCTATAGAAACATGAATTAAGTCACTTAACCTGAAACTCAGAAAACTATAAAATGGGGATACCTGCTCATACTACCTATCTCATATAATTATTTTAAAGATCATATGACAGGACAAATGAAACAATTCTGTAATAACAGAACACTAAAAATGGAACTAATCTTATAACTCAACATTGGAGCTAATCTGCTCTGATAGGCTTTCCCCCTTCTCAGGTAGGAGACAGGGGATAAATTATACACACACACACACACACATCATATATATCACATTACCCTAACAAATAGCTGGTACCTTTTGGAGACAGTCTTCTGATCTTTGCTGTTTAACCCAAAGGAAGAGAAATTCTAATGGCAATGACAAACTTCTCAAAGCATACCATACCTACTTATACCTATTCTGCCTAAAAACAGGGCCAGCCATGTCCAGGCTCACCATAGCTACTGCAGTCCTCCAGGCTGACTCTCCAGTCGTCACCTTGGCCTTCAGCATGCAGCTTGGCATGGACCGGGGAGATGAGGACAGGCTCACACTGGGGCCGAAGGGCCACATCACACAGATCAGCCCTGAGGCCCAAGTGGTAGGTACAGCCAGCCCCAGTTGGGGGGTGAAAAGTATAGAGATCTCCACCCCTCCCAACCCCCATGCGAAGCAGCTGGAAGCAGGGCAACATGGGGGGAGGGGCTTTCCCCTATGGACCCCCTCCTAAAGTCAGGGAATACATAGCTCTTTCTACCCTTGGGCAAATAAAAATTGAGAGATGTTCTGATGCAAACTTGGAGTACAGTTCTTGTGCAGTTCAACTCTAGATGTACATTCTCAGTGCAGTGCAAATCTGGAAGGCACTCAGCCAGTGCAATGAAAGATGAACAAATGCAAACCGAGGGGGACAACAACTTGGCCTTGAAAGAAAAAAATTAAGGTGTCATCCCTTGTGCAACGAAAAACTAGAACATGTGCATCACACTAAATTATGGGCTCATAATCTGTGCAACTAATACCCAGAGTATACTCAGTTTGTGCAATGTTATATAAAGGGGTAGTTAACTGAGGGTGTTGGGGCCAGTTTCCACATTAAGTTGGGGCTTAATAACTTAAGCCATCCAAGTGCAATTGGGGGCGAGGTGGCCCTTTCTTTCAAAAGGGCTCTTCCAGAGGCCCTCCCCTCACAACTTTCCTGACCCAACACCTCACTTGTGTCAGCGGGATTCAGAATCTTTCAAGGTGATGTGACTGCAACCCTGAAAATGCGGGCTGAGGCTTCCTATTTCTGGAGTAAAGCGAAGCAAGATCCCTTACCTCCCTCCCCCCTGGAGTGCAGTGCAAACCTGGGGTCCTACTGCTTCCGAAGCAACGCAAACGCGGGTCCCCCCAGCCCGGGCAGCCTAATTTCGGATCAATCAGTGCCGGACAATCTCAGCGTGCCGTGCCCCTGCCTCAGGCAATACAAACCTCTACAGTGCAGGCAATGCCCCAGGCCCCCTCCACGGGACCCCCACCCCACCCGGTCCCCGCGCGCACGCTCGGGCTGAGGTTTGACAGGGCTGGCAAAAGCAGAGGGCTCCGGCAAGAGCCGGGCCGGAGAGGAGCGGGGCGGAGCCTCAGAGGACAGGCGCGCCCAACACCTTCGTTAACTCCCGGGGCCCGAATTCCGCGCGCCCCAGAGGCCCCGCCCTCTCCCAATGCCATTTCCCCATTGGACCTTCCTCATTCCATCGCCGACACTCCATTGGGTGGTGGCCAGGAAGGGCACAAAAAGGACCCGGCGCGACCGCTTTCTTTGCTTCCCGATTGGTCATCGAATTTTCCCGGGTTTCAGGGAGAGGAGGAGGAGCTCGGTGGGGAGGCGGGATCTGTAAGGGCGCGGGGACCGGTCGAGTCCCTGGATTGGTTTACCATGTGGACGCCACGGCGCTTGCGTGTACCGATTCCCCCTTGTCCCCCCCATTCTTGATGAAGTACACGAATCCAAGAGCCCGCGGGCTAGCCCGCTCTGCGCAGGCGCAGAAAGTCAGTGGAGGGCCGGGAGGTGGAGAAGGGGGAGGAATGGGGGCGGTGTATTGTGGAGGAGGGCGGGGGATGTGGGACCACCGGGAGAGGGGGGCGTCTCGCGCTGGGTAAGGGGGCGCGAGAGTGAGTCAGTTGAGGGCGGGAAGGGGCGGAGAGGGGCAGGGCAACGTGGGCCTAGGGAGCTGAGGGGTCAGGGGCAGGGTAAAGAAAGTGCTGGAGGTCAGGGGCCGTGGGGCGAGGGGGTAACAGAGAGACGAGGAACGGGGACACGGAGGTCCCGGGGAAGGGGGAGCAGGAGGAAGGGGCCCGGCGGTTTGAGGGGGGGCTTGGGGGAAGTGGGGGCGCTGAGGGGCAGAGGGGGGACCGGCAGGCGACGGGGGCGGGAGAGCTGCAGTTGTGACGAGGCACGGGCGGAGCAAATAAAGGGGAAGGCGGGGAGGGAGGGAGCCGAGGACGGGGCTGCTGGGGTGGGGGCGGGGAGGAGGCCGGCTGGAATGGATGGCGAGGGGGACGGAGAGAGAAACCATGAGAGCATCAGGGTGGGATGGAAGACGGACTTCCAGAGCAGGGCCTAGAGCTGAGCAAAAGCCTTTAAACACGGGCAAAAGACGGTTAGACTTCCTGCTTGCCCAGGAAGATGGTTCCGAAAGTTGCTATGCAGTTAATGGTAACTCGAGATCTCTGCATCTTACAGACTTCGTCTGGTGCCAAGCAGTATGCTGATGGGGAAGGGGGAATCAGTCTTGGGAATAATGGTGTGGGGAGGGAATTTCCCCAGGGCCACACTGAGCAAACAATCCAGTAGAGCTGCTTCCCCAGCCCTTTAATTCCATATGTGCTCACTCACCTTCAAATCACAGAATCAATAAGAAAAATAGAGCCGTAAGGGGAGGGAAAGGCACTGCTTAAAGTCCTGTGAATGCCATGTAGACCCTTCAGGGGTCTGGAGGCATTAACCTTAGATCGTGCTTCCCTTAGAAAATTATTTTTTGTCATAGATTTTGTATAATGGAGTCTCTTATCAAACCTGGATAGGGCCAACCACTGATTATTTCCTAGATGTTCCAGTTTGTCTCTTTCAAAAGGGGGGTGATAGGGATGGGGAGGTTTGAAAGGAAAGTAATGACTGCTGCATAGACCTTAAATCATCTAAGGAATTGGGTAGGTTATTTTAGGATCTTTCCCAGGGATTAGTTGGAAGCTTGGAAAATGAATTGGAGCTTGAGGTGTTTCTCTTGATTCACAGGAAAGAATGGATGGTTGGAGAAGGAACCTGGAACTCCCATCCACTTTCAGGATGCTCCAGTCTTCTGGTAAAAGGGACAGGAATTGGAGCAATGGAATTGGAGATTGCACACTCTGTTCCTATACCTTCGATACTGACCCTTCTATTCTCTTTTTGCTCAGGTCTCAGCAGGCTCATGCCTCCATCTCATTTCCAGAAACGGCCCATTCCAGGCATGTCCAGGATCACTTCTGTACAGTCCCCACCCTTGCCCCTGGTCCTGCCTTCACCCCATCATGGTCATGATAACAGTGATCATAGATGGAAGCATCATGGACTACAGATTTTGAGAGAACAAAATGGGGCAGGTGATAGTGAGGATCCCAAAAGAAGGATCAGGTAGGGACCTACTTATCCTAGCTTCTGCCTGTAATTGTTCTTCACTCCTGTGTTATTTTTTTAAAAAGTTTTATTGATGCCTTTTTCTTTTACATTCCATTAATTTCCAGATGTGCCCTTCTCTCCTATCTTGCCCAGCAAGCCTTCACTTGTAACAAAGATAGAAAAAAACCAAACAGTTCTAATTGTTTTTTGATCTTATGTACCTTCTGCTTTCATGTGTGAAATTTGAACCATATTATTTGATTTTTTTTTGTATTTTTTCTTGTCTCATGTCTGTATCCTGACTCTTCTAAACTGTACTTTAATGTCTTAACAAAATTACTGGCTTTAAAGTGGAGTTACAGTGGAGTTGGATCTTGTCTGCTAGGGTTTTTTGCTCCTAAGTTACCAAAGGACTTTGTTATAAGTAGTCATGGATTCTAAAATAACATTATAATGAGAATAGAGCTGTTTCTCAAGGACGGGACCATGTCTTATTTTTATTGCCTCCTCTCAGAAAGTTTAGGACAGTTTATATAGTAAACTCTCAATAAATTATTATTAACTAGCCCCATATTCTCTCCACATTAGGAGAGAATCCATTTCCTTCTCTGCCTCTACCTCAGAATGGAGTTCAGGCTCCTCATTCTCTCACTCAACCACAAAAGACCCAGTAATCCTTCCCTTTTTCACCTCAAGCAAAACTCTTACCAGATATCCTAGCACTCATTGTCTTTACCATTCATGAGGCACACTTAATAGATGAAACTATGCAATAGATGCAACTATTGTCTTTAGTATTTGCCTTCCCTTCTCAACTAGATTAAGGCCCTTGATGACATATACCTTTTTATATCCCTAGCATCTAGCTTAGTGCCCTCCACATAAAAAGTGCTAGATAAATATTTGTTAAGGATAATCTCTTCAGAGTAGACCACAGAATCCTTACTTTTGCAGGTTTTGTATCCTTTCGTGTGTCTGACTGACTTCCAGTTTCCCCAGAGGCCCCCTTGTTCCTTCCTCATCCCTACATATCAGAGCAGGGAAGTCGTCCTCATAACTACCTAGATGGGAACAGAGAGGCCCATTTGTCCTTTTTTGTATAAGAGCAAAGAGACCGTATCTCACCTGTAACTTTCCCTAAAGGTCCCTGGACCATGTAGGGCCACAGGGCTTGAAGTCCCAGACTGAGTTCACTCAGCACCTGGAAGAGATGCGGAGTCTTGAGATGGAGAGTCAGGCCTTGCGGTTGGCTTCAGTCCATCAGAAGGCTCGGTTGGCAACTCAGGCTGAGGAGCTGAAAGTGTTGGGACAGGCAAAGGAGGCTATGCTTATTGAAGTAGAGGAGCTTCGTGCTGCCTTGGCTGGGGCAGAGCTCATTCGGCAGAAATTGGAAGAAGAAAACAGACAAGAGCTGGAAGAGACCCAGAAGCTGCACAAGGAACAGGTAAATGAGAATAAGGAAATATTAGGTGTTAGTTGGGATTTGTCTCAGTTCCACATTGTAGGGAATTAGTCTGAGGTAATCACTTTAGCAAAGATCCTTTGGTATTCGATTAGAACACTAATCTGTTTGGCCAGGAGGATGTTGAGAATCCAGAGTAAAGAACTTGAAGCTAGCAGGCTGGGGCAGTTAGGTCATTCTACATTCATCCTCTTTGTTCTCTCTCTCCACTTTTCAGAATTCAGATATCCTGCTTCTTTCCCAAAACTTTCATTTATTTCTTAGTACTCAAGTATTCTACCTATTTTCCTTTTGGAACCCAAGCATATGTTAAAATATCTGCCTAGACTATTGAAGTAGTCTCCTAAAAGTTCTTCCAACCACTACCCTCCCCACTCTTATCTATCCTCACATCATTGCCCTACATTAATATTCCTTAGCAGGTATATATTTGGTTGAATCACACTTATTCAAAATCCTTCAGTAGCTCCCTATTGCCTAAATAAAGTTAAAACTCTTTAGTTTGGCTTTCAAGAGTGTCCAAAATCTGGTCCTACCCAAACTTCTCTGGCCTTATTTCATATTACCCCCTTCTGTACACTGTATATGCTTCAGGATAAATTGGATGGTCCTTCATATATATCCTGTTCTTTCCCACCTCAGTACCTTTGTTCAAATTGTACTGTGTGCCTACCTGGAGTACCTCTTTGCTTAATGAATTCCTACTCGTTCTTTAAAAACTAGATTAAATGCCTCTTGCTCAAACAAAAGCCTTCAAACCCACAATTTTCCTGATTCTCCTTACACAGCACTTAATTTACACTTCTTTGATAGCCTTATTCACACACACACACATACACACACACAAACACATTATATGTTTTTTTTACTATAGACAATTGCATATGTGTCATATTCTCTTGGATCATCAACTTGATGAGATTAGGGACAATTTCTTAATTTAAGAATCTGTATCTGTCCCAATGCTTAGCACAGTGCTTAAAATACAGTAGCCATTTAATACAACTTTATCAGGTATTGGATTAATTAAAGTAAGAGAGTGGGGAAGATAGAAATATTGGCCCAGGAAGAGAAGGGACATAGGAAGGGAAGACAAGTAGGCCACTGGAAAGTTTGAGGAAGTGGGAACTTTTAGAGGAAAAGTGAGAAGCTTCTTCTTGCTGAGCCCCTGCTGTCATTCTTTTCTTCTTGAGATCTCCCACATGACTGAAGCTCACCAGGAAGCTCTTGCTGCCCTGGCTAACAAGGCCCATGAGTTGGAGGAGAAACTCAAGACCATGGAATCTAAGAGGGACAAAGAGACCAAAGAGTTGGCTGTTGTACAGAAGGAGGCTAAGATGTTAAGGGAGGAACTAAGGTGAGGAGGAATATAGGGTCAATAAAAGGAGTCAGCAGCAGTGTGGGAAGAGCAGGTTTCTGGGGCCTTTCAGTGATAGCCTTTACTTTCTCACTCCTACTCACCAATTTAGTAAGGCCCATGCAGAGCTCAAGACCCAGGTGGCCCTTGTTGAGCAGCTTAGGAGGTATGTAGGGGATCAAATCCCACCAGAGAACAAGAACCAGACGTGGGAGCAGGAGAGGAAGCAGCTGCTGGAGAAGATACAGGTGAGCCATAAGAGGAGTGGTTTTATCTTTGGGGTGGAGATAGAGATATGGGTTGGGAGATTGGAGGTGGATAGAGATTCTTTTGGAGGTGATGAATATATGTAGCTTCTAGGATGAATATACATAGCTTCTAGGGGAGAACAGTTCTTAGCTTAGAGGGTACACAGAGACCTGAGGGGAGGGAGAAGTAGGCACATTTTAGGGACAAGTACAAAGACACTACCATAGATAAGAATCTCCTTCCCATGGCCAGCATTTGCAAGAGGATCGGGATGCCTTATGTGCCACTTTGGAGTTGCTACAGGTTAGAGTGCAGAGCCTCCAGGACATCCTTGCCCTACAGGAAGAGGAGCTGGGTCGGAAGGTAAGCTTTGCTGTCTTCACAGAATTCAAGTATTCTTGCTTCCTCCTGGAACTTAGGGATCCCTTACCAGCCCAGTTCTTCTTGGACTCTTCCTCTTATCACTCTGCCTTCTTACTTTATAGATTTTCATTTTTATCTTGATCTTTTTGTTGTTCAAGATAGGCAGGAGCAGTAATGGATATTTACCTTACTCCCGTGGAAGCCTTGACCTCATGTTTCTTCTCTGCCTTGAAGGTCCAGCCCACAAACCCCCTGGAGTCTGATGCAGCCAAGAAGGCTCAGGCCCTGCTGAGCCGTTGGAGGGAAAAGGTGTTTGCCTTGATGGTACAGTTGAAAGGCCAGGAGTTGGAACATAGTCAGCATGCCCAAAAGCTGAAAGGAAAGGTAACATCACTTTTCAACACTCTCACACTCTCACTCTCTCTCTCACTCTCACTCTCACTTTTTAGGTGTATAGATCATTGACTGGGGAGATGTGAAATTCTTCGAGGGGAAAGGGATGAGGTGAAACAAGGAAGATAATGTATTCTACACTGGAGGCAGAGCCAAGATAGAGGAGTAGAAGGAAGCAGTATAGCTGAGCTGCTTGCCATAAAACTTCTCTAAATAGACCTAGAAAATATACTAGACCAAATCCTGATGGGGGCATCCAGAGAAAGTCACAGTGAGTCATTTGATCTATCCAAGTCATCATAGCAGGGAGACAAGAGAGGTCTGCTGACACTAGGGATGGTGTTGGACTAGAAATATGCTATGTGTGGAACATTCCAGAGCCCAGGGTGAGGTTGTGGTCCAGGGCAAAAGGGGGTCCCAGATCCATACTAGAGCACTAGGACAGAGACAGGTAGGAACTGGCAGCCTACTACCTAGTTCTCATAGATCCAGAGTGGACTGAGAAGGGGACTTGTGCCCTGGGGTGGTGTTCCCAAGTAGGGAGGCCCTGGGTGGAAAGGAAGAAGTTTAGAGGAAAGTAGGAAGGGTATGGTTTAGACCCCAGGAGCAGAGCTGTTTCTCACTTCTATCATCCAGCCCAGCCTGCAGAAGAATAATCAGGGTAGGAATTGCAGATTTAAGGGGAGTCAACAGTTCTGTCACTCTAAACCAATAGAACTTTCTGGCTGGCTGATAGTGTTTTGATCTGAGAGATTTAGATCCCTCAAGGACCAGAGTATAGGTTGGGGTAATCTGGAATGAATTCACAGACTCGAGCATTCTTTAAGTCAAAGTGGCAAAGATTTATTGTTACGGTATACAGCAGGTAAGGATTTTCAAGGAATCTGCCATGGTGGGTAGAACTCTTTAGGGAACTTGCAACCTAACAGGAATGATCTAAAAATAGGGAAATATATAGGAAAATCAGGGGATTATGTGCCAAGTATATTAATTAGGCGATAACATACAACCTCGGTCACAGGTGTCATTCCCTACTGAAAACCGGGGAGGGGGATTTCCTTAAGGGGTGTGTTTTTGGTCTGTTATGTTTGAAACAAGATAGCTTTAGGAGTTGGCATCTATAGCTTGACCTCTGGAGTGTATACGGTGACTGTGAGCATCAGTACTTGATAGTTCTGCTTGTATAAAATAGTCCTGTTCATTCATATAAAGGAAATTCTACAAAGGTCATCTTGTTCTTGTAGCAGGGACAGATAGTTTGCCTCACTGGGCCCACTCATTAGTTATTGCCAGAGATGGGTCCTTGGCCTGGAGGGAAATTGCCAGGTATAGTGTTTTAGAGGCCAGGGAGGAACTGGAGTCCAAGCACAGGTACCCAGGCACCCCATCAATAGGATCTGAGACCAACAGCTGTCTGCTGTTGCTTAGATGCAATCCCAGGTCAAGAACTTGCAGAGCTCAGGCTAGGGGGACAGCAGTTGGACTTTGCCCTGGGTTAGATCCCATTGGGAGCATTGAAAGCTTGCAGGTCCCCAGTCTGTTCCTGAATAACACAATACACAGTACCCCAAGAAAGCAACAGCAGGACCAGCCCATGCCTTCCCCCAGAAGTGCCACAGAGGCCATCCCTAACGTCAAGTCTGAAGTTAGGAAGTAGGTTGGAAGAATGAGCAAACAAAAAAAGAATCCCATTATAAAGAGCTATTATGGTGGCAGGGAATTTCAAGACACAAACCCAGAAAAAGAGAGTGACTCCAGAAAAATCTATAAGCAAAGCCTCAGAGCAAAACACAGCTTGGACACAAACAAACTCAATTGGAATTCCTAGAAGAGATGAAGGAAGAGGTTTGTGTTTTTTTTTTAGTTAAATTTTTTTTATAAGTAAAATGAGAACACTTGAGGAAAGAAAAATTGGAAAAGAAACAAAAGTTATGGTAGAAAGAATTGGAAAAAAAAACAAAACTGGCAGCTTGGCACAAGAGTTATAGAACCTTGTCCAAACAGATTGCCTAAAAATTAGAATAGACCAATGACTCCTTGAGGCAGCAAGAAATATTAAAGTCAAAAGACTGAAAAAAAATGAAATCTCTCATAACAACAACTGGCCTAGAAAACAGATCTTGATTGAACTCTGAATGCCATGATCAAAAAAAAGAGCATAGATATCATACTTAAAGAAATTTTTTTTTTTAAGATTTAGACCTTTACTTTTGAGTTTGTGAGAAAACAAGCAGTATTTTTAAATTTAGATCATGAATTTCCATTCTTAAGTTATTAGAGAACAACTTGAGTTCTTTGTTCTATATGTCCTAGAAATCGGATTATTTAGAGCAGACAGAGACAGTTTAGTTGCTAACATTTCTCATAAGGTCATTAGCTTCCATTTGCTCAATTCTAATTTTTAAGGAATTCTTTTCTTCAGTGAACTTTTGAACCTCCTTTTACATTTGGCCAATTCTGCTTTTTTTTCTTCATTGAATTTTTTGCCTCTTTTTCCATTTGGCCTGTTCTGCTTTTTAAGGCATTCTTTTCATTGGCTTTTTGGACCTCTTTTGCCATTTGGCCTAGGTGTTATTTTCTTCAGTATTTTTTTTTGTGTGTGTGTGTCTCCTTTACCAAGCTGTTGAATAGTTTTTCATTATTTTCTTGCATCACTCTCATTTCTCTTCCCAATTTTTCCTCTACTTCTCTTCCTTGATTTTCACAATCCTTTTTGAGCTTTTCCATGGCCTAAGACCAAGTCATACTTTTCTTGGAGGTTTTGGATGTAGGAAGCTTTGACTTTGTTATCTTTGTTTGTTTTGCTTTTCCTTGTCACTGTAGTAACTTTCTATGGTCAGAGTTTTTTTTTTCTGTTGTTTGCTCATATACTTAACCTATTACTTGACTTTTAACTCTTTGTTTAAGTAGGGCTCTGCTTCCAGGGTGGAGGGCACACTGTCCCAAGCTTCAAGGGTTTTGGCAGCTGTTTTCAGAGATACTTCTAGGAACCTGTAAGTTTCGAGTTCTTCCAAGGTGGTATCCAAGGTGGTATGATCTAAAGAGAGATGCATTTACTACTCTCCTGGCCTGTGCTTTGTTCTGTGAGTGACCACAAGCTCTCTTTTCTGCCCTGGAACTGTGAGGAGGGACCCTGCTCCACTGTGGCCTCAAGCTCTGGTGTGCTAGTGCTCCTTCTTGCCCTGGGACTGCCACCCAGGATCTGGATCTGAATATAGGCAAAGCAACAGAGTTCTACCTCAGTGCTAGCAAAGAGACCCCTGTAATCTTCTGACCATCTGTGGGTGAGAGCTCCAGAAGCAGCCGCTGCAGCTACTGCAGCTACCGATTCAGTGGCTCCGTTTTTTTGGTTTGCTTGCCAAGGCCCTGGTGATATAGCCTGTGCTGGATTGCACTTCTCTTTCACCCTGGTGTGAAAGATCTTTCCTGCTGATCTTCTAAGTTGTCTTGGGCTGGAAAGTTGTTTCACTCTGTCTTTTTGTGGATTCTGCTGCTCTTGAATTTGTTTAGACTCATTATTTAATGGTATTTGGAGGGTTTGGGGGAGAGCTCAGGCAAGTCCCTGCTTTTTCTCTGTTATCTTGGCTCTGCCTCTTCCAAATCCCACCTTCTGCAGAAGGCCTACCCTCCATCTCCCATTCACTGCATCTCCAGTACTTAGCATAGTGCTTGACATGTAGCAAATGCTTGTTATTAATTGAAAGGACAAATCCTTGAAAGAGAATATATACTGTGTAAGGACTGGTATGAAATCTTAACTCAATTTTGTAGTCTTTCAAAGGTCTAGCACGGTGTTCAACACACTGAGTAGCTAGGCACTGAATTATTTATAGAAACAGACTTTTCGCATAATAATGTAGTGTCCCAAATATAGGTTGTATTCCTCAATTGAAGTCTTTTAAAAGAGGAAAAAATACATAGGTAAACATTGGGAAACAATACTTATCAGCCATATTCAGATTTTGTACAAAGCTAGCTCTTAAGAGAGTTGGGGTAGGGGGTAGGGAAGAGAGTGTGACCTATATTTAGACAATTAGGATATATTTTTGAGAAGGTAACCCTAAATTGGTGTCCACTTCCCTCAAGAACCTTAAGCATTCTGCTACCAAGTTACTTAGGGTAACCTGTTCCTTTGTCTCCACTTGTTGTTTTCCTTAGGGATACAGGAACTTGGCACTCAATTTCTTCTTTATCCCAGGTGGCAGAACTTGAAGGGGAAGTAGTGTCTTGGGGCCAGGAGTCGGCCATCTTGCACCAATCCCTACAGGACAAAACTGCTGAAGTGGAGGTAGAAAGAATTAACAGCAAGGTGGGTACATGAGAAAAGGAGGCATGAGCTGAGTCATCGTGGGCTCTGGTCAGAGTCTTTCTCTCCTTTCCGTCCTTTCCAGGTGCTGCAGGGGGAGCTAACCCGAGCCCAGGAGGCTGGGCTGTGGCAGCAGCAGCAGACAAAGAAGGCTGAGGAGCACATGAAGCTTGTGGCCAATGCAGTGAGCAGGTATTCTAGATGTCTTCTCTGTCAAGGGGTCTTGGGTGAGAAGGGACCAGAAAGCAAGGGGATTTGGGGAGGAAAGAGGATTGTTCTTGGGGTAGTTGATGTTCTCTTGTCCCTTCAGTTCCCAAAACTGGCTACAGGATCGGGTAGCTAAGGTGGAAGAGGCTGTAGCTCAGCTTCCAAGCCTCAACAGCCGCCTTGGCTATGCTTCCCGACAGGTCCGTACTGTTCAAGGTAGGAAGGCCATTCCATTCAGATGCCCTTTTTCCTATTTAATTTCCCCCCTCCACACTCATATTTATCCTCTGTGTTTTAGATTCCATAATCTCCCTTGCATGTATCCCTTCACAAATCTAGCCAGTGATCACCTCTTCCCATTTTCCCTCTCTTTGCCTCTTCCCTTTGTTTTTTGCAGTAACCCAGCTCTGCTTTCTCTCTCTCCCCATTTTTAAAGGCCTTATGGCTCGGAAAATAGCACTTGCACAGCTGCAGCAGGAACAGAGGTAAGATTAGAAGGCAAAGAACCATTGGTCCTGGGAAGTGAACCTAGGGAGAAAGAGTAGGGCCAAAAGGGTTAGATGCTTGTGATGCTCTCTCTACTTGACCTGATATCTCTGTCTACTTCCTACAGTCTTCCACCTCCGCTGTCTGAAGAAATGAGACTTGAGTTGCAGCAGCTAAGAGAAGAAAGGGACCACCTAGAAAAAGAGCTACAACTGAGTGCCCACCTTATCCAACAGGAAGTGGGCCGAGCCCGGGCACAAGGTAGCACAAGGCTCTTGAGAATGGTTGGGTTTACTCTGAAGATATGGAGAACTATAAGTAGGAGAGCAAGATACTTATGGGGCGAGTGATGGTGGGTAAAAACCAAGCATCTACATTCTGATATGGTGGTGTGACGTTATTGATTATCTGATACTTAGGGGAGGAAGAGCGGATTCGGCTAAGTGAGGGGGTCCGGCAGTTGGAGCAGGAGCTGCAAAAAACCCAGGAATCTTTGGCGGAGGTTGGGGTTCAGCTGAAGGCAGCTCGAGTGAGCCAGAAGGAGAGCACAGAAGAGGCTGCCTGCCTTCGGCGGGAGCTAACCCAGCAGCAAGAGACCTATGGGAGAGGTACAGGGGAAAATGAAGAATTCTGAAAGGAGTGGAGGTGGGGAATTCATTCTGCAGTCTCATACCTAGCTCATGGATCCTGATTCTGAGGCAAGGGGTTCACAGGGGCAGACACTAAGGTAAAATGGGACTTAGATCTCCCCTTCCCTCCCTAGACTTACAGAAGAAGGTGGCTGAAGTGGAGTCGAGGCTTCGAGATCAGCTTTCAGAGTTGGAGAGAAGACTGAATGAAGCCCGGAAGGAACATTCTAAAGCTGGTGAACTCAGGGGTTTGGCCATGGAAAGGGAAAATAGCATTAGACAGCACCTTCTTGTTCCTCTGACATCACAGATTTATAGATGAATAGAATTTTAGAAGTAGAAGGAACTATAAAGATCATTCAGTCCAGCAGCTCTCATTTTTTTTATAAATGAAGCCTAGATAAGTAAAGTGATTTGCCCAAAGTTGCATAGCTATTAGCTGGAAATCGGCAATTAGAACACTGGGCTCCCAGTTCCTTGTCCAGGAACTACTTTGACAATAATCCCATTGGATTAGTCCCTACACCTCTTCCTTCTGTCCCTCCAGTGGTCTCCCTGCGCCAGGCCCAGCGCCAAGCAGCCCGAGACAAGGAGCGTAGCCAGGAGCTGGGACGTCTGCAAGAGGAAGCCCAGAGGGAAGAAGGCTTCCGGTTGCAGCAGAGGCTTCAAGAGCTGGAACGAGACAAAAACCTTATGTTGGTATGGATTTTACCCCTGTATGAGCTATAATTTTTCTCTTTCGTAGTCAGAGGACAAAGGAAATTGGAACTCTATCCTGGGAAGAACTGGGGATGGAGAAACATCTATTCTAACCGTCTTCTTCCTAGGCCACCCTAAAGCAAGAGGGTCTCCTTTCCCAATACAAACAGCGGCGGCTGTTTGCAATTCTTCCTTCCCCATCATTGGAACCTGGACCTGGAACCTCTCAAACTCAACACCCTACCAAGCAACTTTTGAAAGGTAGAATTCAGAAGAAGTTTGGGACCTTATTACCCACTAGGGATCCACAATATCTCTTAACTTTTTTTAGATTTTTCTCTTCTTTAGTATCCACACCAAACCCTCCCCTCTGCCTCATTTCATACCAAATATAAGAGCTTTCTCTTATGTAACTCCACTTTTATGGATTCCTTCTCAGGATCCTATCTCTCTGCATTGCTGGAAGATCTGCAGGAAATGAGTGAGGTTATCACTCGAGAAGAGGAGGGAGACAATGGGAGGTGCTCAATTGTAACATCCTCCTCTTACCAGTTGTAAGCTGTAAAGGGGAACAGAACAGGTGGAGAATATAGCAGATATGACCACCTGCTGGCTCTAATCCCCAAGCTACATCTGCCTTGATGTCTGAATTTTCTTACACTAAATAAAGGAGGTTTTAGTAGGATCTGTGAGTTTGGAAATATTCTGTCTAAGGATTTAAGAATGTCTTCCCAGCAGCTCTCTTTGCCCCATATGCCTCCTTTCCCCTTTCCTATGAAATGAAAGATTTTCCCTTTGTAGCTCACTCCCAGGAATAAGAGCCTTTTTCACATCCCCCCTTCCCTTTTTGGATCTGGATGATATTTTGAGAAGCAAATTTTTTTATCAATTAAAGATTTTTTCCAATTAAAATCAACCTTAAAAAAATTAAAATCAACCTTCTGTCTCTCCCTACCTTAGGGAAAAAAAAAGAAAGAAGGACAAAACCCTTATAACAAATATGTCAAGCAAAACAAATTTTTGAATTGTCCATATCTAAAAATATGTATGCCTCAGTCTGCACTCTCAGTCCATCACCTCTCTGTCAGGAGGTGGGTGGCATGTTTCATCATGAATGGAATTGTAATTGGTCATTGCCTTGCTCAGAGCTCTTAAGCCCTTCAAAGTTGTTGTTTTTTGCAATATTATTATTGTATAAATTGTGCTCTTAGTTTTGTTTCTTTGTCTGCATCAATTCATACAATTGAGAAGCAATACATTAAATAATAATTTTGAAAAGAAAAGCTTTCACCACTGGAAGAGGCAATTGAATGTGAAACCTGAAAGACTTCTAGGACTCGAAGGAATGACAAACTTTGAAATGGGAGTGGGGCCTAGAGAGACAGCTGTATGAGGGCAGAAGAGGGGGAAAGTGGAGGAGGAGAGCACTGAGGGACAGGAGAAGAAGATGGGCAAAGAAGATGACTGTTCATAATGTGGTACTTCTGCTGAATAATCTTTTTGGCTTGGCTGCAAAAAGGGGAATTAGGGTTTCCTGCTATTTCCTTCCTTGAGTCATTCTGAATCTGCTCCAGTTTCTTCCTTGTGTTGTTTTGTGTAGGGTGAAGTTTACAGGTTTTACAGTTTTTAGGTTGAGCACTTGGATCCCTGAGGAAGGGTAGGAATGTGGAGCAAAGATGGTTCCTGAAGAGAACAGGAACTGTAGGGAGATGTTTGTGTCCTGGGAAAAGATCACCCTGAGGGGTGATGTATAGGTATAGTGTCCCAGCTGTGACCCTTGTGTTCAAAGGGCATATAACACTTCCCCCCGCCTCCCTGAAAGCCAGGCGTCATTCTTGCTTCTGTTTCACTGCCTCTGTAATTAGGCTGCTTCCCCAAACATGATTTGCATCCTGTCTGTGACTCCTGACTGAGGTAGGACATCAAAAATGGAGGCCTCAGTATGAGTCTGGAGGGGGAGGAGTGTGTATTGACTTGGAAGCTACTTGGGTAGGGCAAGGCAGGGACAAAGAATCTAGGTGCCCCAGATTGCTGATGTGGAGAGCCAGGGAAGCTGGCAACCAGGACAGCTGAGACTGCCCTGAGACTGAGCTTAGAATGAGTAGCTATCACACCGAAAATGCAAACTCTCTGAACCCCCTCTTCCCCCTCCCAACAAGTCTGTCCAGTTATGTCCCTGCCTCTTTACTGGTACCAGATGAGTCATTGGGGTTTTCCCTTCTCAGAGCTTGGGCTCCTCCTCTTTCTCTCTTCCCTATAAAGTCAGTTCCTAGGCACTGCGGACTGAATCTCTGCCCCTCCTCTTGGGGCACAGGAGAGACCGCTTCATCATGCTGAATTGGAAGCTACTGGGAATACTGGTTCTTTGTCTTCTTGCAGGAGGTGAGCAGAGGAAGCAGGGGAGAGATAGTGGAATGGAGGTGCAAGAACAACTTGGTGATCTGAGGGGTGGGGGAAGGAAAGTGATAAAAGTGGGAGGTGACATACAGGTACAGGTTGGGAAGGTATTTGAGGGAGATGTCCAAGGTTTGTATAGATCCAAAAAATAAAATGGAGTAAATGCTATTTCAGGGTATTATGTTTTAGGGTATCAAATTAATTTGGGGCCAGACCATCTTTGGGATATAGGTCATGCTGTGGACTTCAGGGGTTTCTTTTGTTTGGGGATCTGGCTTGGTGTGGAGGTTAATGGATCAGAATTGAGGTGGAAATTAGTATCATAGCCAATATTAGTATTTAGAGGAATTTCTGCCTTCCATCTTGCCTGTTGAATTCCTACCTGTCCTTTACAACTCATACCCACCACCTTCATGTTCCTTCTCTAATCTCCAATTCCCACCTTAGACTTTTCCTAACATGTTGTTTTAAACCTTTTTGATGTAATTCTGGTTTATTCTTCTACTAGACTACAAGCCCTGTGAGGCAGGGATAAATTTGTATCTATGTATCTACTTTTTATCTTTCCCCCAGTGCCTAGCAAAGTGCTCTGCACTCTTTAGGTATTTAATAAATGTTTGAATGAATGAACAAAAGACATTTGAGAGATTTGAATGATTTTAGATTTGATGATAATCACTTTAGAAGCATAAATAAGTTTAAGAGGATGTGTTACTTTGTTGGCCCTTTGAATTTGAGCTTAGTTTGAGAGAACTCATCAACAAAGTTTGCACACCTTTAAGGGTTTAGGTCAATGTAGCAGACTGGTCAATTCAAGTTCAGTTAAAAATTCAGATTAATTTAGGACGTCATGGCGATTTAGGAATTTCTAGATTCTTGGTTTTCAGGGTTAATGTCCATTTCAGAATTTAGACAAATTCTGTCGTTCATAGCATTTGTGGGGAGGGCATCATCTATTCCAGTGACTTCACCCCACTCTATTTTTCTGTCCTTTACAGGCATCACAGGGAGCAATGACCATCCTTTGCCACCAGCCCTGGAGGCCCTTGAAGAAGAGGGTGCACCAACATGGCCACAGGGCCCACCAGTCCCTGGTGATCCCTGGCCAGGGATACCCCCTGTTTTTGAAGACCCCCCACCCCCAGGCCCTAGTCGTACTTGGAGAGATCTGCCTGAAAGTGGAGTCTGGCCCCCTGAGCCCCCTAGAACAACTACTCCCCAACCTCCACGGCCTGATGACCCCTGGCCTGCTGGACCCCAGCCCCCTGAGAATCCCTGGCCTCCTGGCCCTGAGGTAGATGCTCAGGATGAGTCAGATCTCGATCCACCCAAGGAGGAATACAGATAATTGGGTGTTCTCAGTTGCCTTCTCTCATGCACACGAGGCCTGGTTCATCTAACACATCTTCCTCATTCCCCTGGATCAGTAATCTTTCTGTACCTCAATACCCCCTTATCTTTGCCCTTCTGATTCCACTGTCCTCCCAAAGATTTACTCTTTCTCTCCACCTTTAATTCCTGTTGGTCACCCCCAAAGCATATCCCTGCCTCATGTTCTGACCTCTCTTTCCCGTACCAATTCTTCCAGAATCTCCACAACTGGGATGGCATAGCTGTGTTTTTCTGCCACCATTTTGGTGGCTGTGAACAGAGAGGTGAAGATGGACAATACCAGAACTTCCATGAAGTGGAAAAATAAAACCATACTAATAATCCTTGTGTATTCATATCCTTTTATTCTTGAATGAGGTTGCTAAGAATTTCTGTTAGCTTCCTAGTCACCCAAAGTGGGGAATGAGGAGGAAGAAAGGGGAGAGAAGCCTTACCCATAGTTTAAAAGTATCTTGATCCTCCTTTCATCTTCACAGTCCCTACTCCCTTCAGGGACCTGGGCATCTGGTTTATTAGTCCCCTATCTCAGGAACTCAAGAAATGTAACTTGGACCCATTGAGACCCAGAGAACTAGAGGGTCCCAGTTTCTGTGATAGCTGTTGATGTTTTGGGCTGGGGTTAAGAGAATAAAGGAATAAACATTCTTTAGGCCTCAGAAACCCAAAGGCTCAAAATATGGGACTAAGAGAAGTTGATAGGCTTAAAAGTAATATATATTATACTTTCAGTTTACAATGTGTTTGTATTACAAGCCTAGGAGTTAGGTAGTAATAAGTATTTTCATTTTACAGGTGAGAAAACAGGGTCAGTGATGTGTCTTGTGGCCTAGTATGTAGCCCAAGGACTCGGGTTTGACCCCAGATTGTCCATTTCTCTGGCTTGTTGCCCATGGTTTAATCCAGAAAAATTATCCAAAAGAAAGCCTCAAGTATAGTTTGTGACTAGGGTGTTCCCAAATTCTGCCCAGACACTCAACATTGTGATATATGGTTATTGGGTGTGGTATAATCTTTATTTTGCCCCACAAAGAAAAAAGGATCCTAAAAAATCATAAAGCATTCAGAAAGCTCAGCCGTTTTCCCAGAAAGGGAACCAACTTTGGGGTACATCATGTTGCAGTGAAAAGAGCACAGGACTTGAAGCATTAAACTCACAGGATCCGACTTCAAATTTAGACTTACAACTTGTGAAGCTTTGGCCAAGTCACTTAATCTCTAGGTCTCAGTTTCTTTATCTGTGAAAGGAGAGGGGTTGGATTAAGTAGCCTTTAAGATCTGCCTTCCAGATCTAAATCTATGATCCCAGGAGCCTATGGTACTTTCCAGATGCACACAGCTAGTAAATGTCAGAGCAGGGATTTGAATTTGTTCCCTAAATTAAAATCAATGCTTTCCCACTATAGTGCAGAGCCTGAAAGAAATAGCAAATCCATAGTATGTTTTGAGCTGGTCTGAATTCATTCAACATTCCCATTATGAGCATGTAGGATATGAACAGCTCTGTGCTAGAGAGGTTATAGGGGAGATAGGAAAAAGTGGTTCCTGTCTTTTAATTTTTTTTAAATTTATTTATTTTTAGTTTTCAACATTTCATTCCACAAGATTTTGAGTTCCAATTTTTCACCACATCTCGTCCCTCCCTCCACCCCAAGATGGCATGCATTCTGAACATCCCTTCCCCTAGTCTGCCCTCCCTTCTACCTCTTCCCCCCCTTCTCTTATCCCCTTCCCCTTCTGCTTTCCTGTAGGGCAGGATAGTCTTCTGTACCCCACTTTCTGTATTTCTTGTTTCCCAGTTGCGTGTGAAAACATTTTTTAAAAATATGTATTTTTAAAACTTTGGGTTCCAAATTTTCTCCCTTCCTCCCTCCCCACCCACCCTCATTGAAAAGGCAAGCCACTTAGTATAGGTTATACATGTGCAGTCATGCAAAACACTTCAGTAGTAGTCATGCTGTGAAAAATTAACTCTATTTCCCTTAATCCTATCCTGCCCCCCCATTTATTCTTTCTTTTGACCCTGTCCCTCCTCAGAAGTGTTTGCTTCTAATTACCCCCTTTCCCAATCTTCCCTCCTCTCTATCATTTTCCTGCTGTCTTGTGCCCTTGTCCCCCTGTTTTCCTGTAGGGTTAGACAGCTTTCCATACCCAACTGGGTGTGTATGTTATTTCCTCTTTAAGCCAAATCCTATAAGAATAAGGTTCACTCATTCCCTCTCACCTTCCTCCTGTTTCGCCTCCACTGTAAGAGCGTTTTCTTTTCTGTTTTTTTTTGTGAGATAATTTACCCCATTCTACCTCTCCCTTCTCTTCCCCAATCCTCTCTCATCCCTTAATTTTATTCTCCAGATATGACACCTTCATCTTCAACTCACCCTGTGCCCTATATCTATTGATCTATCTATACGTGCATATAATTTTTCCCTCCAACTACCCTAATACTGACAAAGGTCTCATGAGTTATAAATATCATCTTTCCATGCAGGAATGTAAACAGTTCAACCTTAATAAGTCTCTTATGATTTCTCTTTCCTGTTTGCCTCTTCATGTTCCGCTTGAGTCTTGTATTTGAAAGTCAAGTTTTCTATTCAGTTCTGGTCTTTTCATCAAGAATGCTTGAAAGTCCTCTATTTCACTGAATAACCATTTATTCCCCTGAAGGATTATACTCAGTTTTGCTGGGTAGGTGATTCTTGGTTGTAATCTTATCTCCCTTGCCCTCCGGAATATTATATTCCATGCCCTCCAGTCCCTTAATGTAGAAGCTGCTAAATCTTGTGTTATCCTGATTGTGTTTCCACAATACTTGAATTGTTTCTTTCTGGCTACTTGTAATATTTTCTCCTTGATCTGGGAAATCTCTAATTTGGCTACCATATTCCTAGGAGTTTTCCTTTGGGGATCTCTTTCAGGAGGAGATCAGCGGATTCGTTCAATTTCTATTTTGCCCTCTGGTTCTAAAATATCAGGGCAGTTTTCCTTGATAATTTCTTGAAAGATGATGTCTAGGCTCTTTTTTTGATCATGGCTTTCAGATAGTCCAATAATTTTTAAATTCTCTCTTTCTGGATCCATTTTTCCAGGTCAGTTGTTTTTCCAATGATATATTTTTCATTCTTTTGGATTTGTTTTACTACAGCGTCTTGATTTCTCGTGAAGTCACTAGCTTCCAATCACTCTATTCTAATTTTTAAGGAAGTATTTTCTTCAGTAATCTTTTGGACTTCCTTTTCCATTTGTCCAATTTTGCTTTTTAGGGCATTCTTCTCCTCATTGGCTTTTTGAACCTTTTTTGCCATTTGGGTTAGGCTATTTTTTTAAGGTATTATTTTCTTCAGTATTTTTTGGGTCTCCTTTAGCGTCACTCTCAGTTTTTCCTCTACTTCTCTTACTTGCTTCTCAAAATCCTTTTTGAACTCTTCCATGGCCTGGGACCAATTCATGTTTTTCTTGGAGGCTTTGGATGTAGGAGCTTTTGGCTTTGTTGTCTTCTTCTGGTTGTGTGTTTTGATCTTCTTTGTCACCAAAGTAAGACAATATAGTCTGACTTTTTTTGTGCTGCTTGCTCATGATCCTGGCCAATTACTTGAGTTATAAACTCTTTGTTAAGGTAGGAGTCTGTTTCCAGTGTGGAGAATGAACTGTCCCAAGCTTTGGGGGTTTTGTGCAGCTATTTTCAGAGATACTTCTAGGGATCTGTAAATTTTCAGTTCTCCAAAGGTGGTATGATAAGGGGCAAGGTGTTTACTCCTTTCCTGGCCTGTGCTCTGGTCTTCTATGAGTGACCACAAGCACTCTTTTCTGCTTTGAAACTGTGAGGAAGATTTCCTCTTCACAGTCACTACAAGCTCCACCATGCTGGCTCTCTTCCTTGCCCCAGGACTGCCACCCAGAACTGTGACCCAGATCCAAGCATGGGCAAAGCAAGAGAATCCTGCACCAGCAGAGAGATCCCTGCAATCTCCCTCTGATCAGCCACCCAATTCCCCCTCAGTCTGTGGCCCGGAAGCTTAGGAGGCAGCTGCCACCCCCGGCCTGTGCTTGGGGAATGGACCTGAGACCACTTTGCTTCTCTCAGCACTGCAGAAACAGACTTTTCCCACTGACCTTCTAAGTTGTCTTTGGCATTCATGGGTTGAGAAGTCTGGAAACCGCTACAGCTGCCTGCGATTCAGTCCTCTGAGGCCAGCTCTAGGTTCTCTGTGGCCTGTGTGCCCATGACAAACCGCACTCCTCTTCCAGCCCAGCATGATATACCTTTCCGATCAACCATCCAGGTTGTCTTGGGCTGGAAATTTGTTTCACTTTGTCTTTTTGTGAGTTCTGCTGCTTTCGAATTTGTTTAGAGACATTTTTTATAGGTATTTGGAGAGGTTTGGGGGAGAGCTCAAGCAAGTCGCTGCTTAATGAGAGGGTAGTACTACATGTCTCTAATGTTCTTTCCACTGTCTTATGATCCTAGTTGGAGAGGTGAAGTGCATGCATGAAAAAAAGTTAAATAACTTTCCCAGGTCACCTAACTGGTAAAACAGGGACTAGAAAGCAAGTATTCTGAATTAAGGCCTATCTCTTCCTATCAGTTTGCTGCCACAGAGGGTGATAAAATGTGGATTCCACTCTCACCAATACATGACTTTCATTAACATTAACAATGGAAGATAGCAAAGGGAGTATACAATTTAAATTTAAGGGGAATTATTTAAGCAAAGATGTTTTGAGTAGGTGCTGGTTCTGTTCTGTCACTTTTCAGTTTTGTCCGACTCTTTGTGACCCCATTTGGGGTTTTCTTGGCAGAAATACTGCAGTGGTTTACCATTTCCTCCTCCAACTCATTTTATAGATGAAGAAACTGAGGCAAACAGGGTTAAGTGACTTTCCCAAGGGTCACACAGCTGGCAAGTGTCTGAGGCCAGATTTAAACTTAGGAAGAGGAATCTTCCTGACTCCAGGCCCACTGCTCTAATCCCTGTACCACCTAGCTGCCCAGTAGGTGCTTAATGAATGTTTATTGACTGATTTGACCGATATCAAGACAATATAGAAAGCAAATGGAGATGTAATCATTTTCATACAGGTTGTTACAAACTGAAATGGTACCAGTTTCCACAATAGAGTCATAGCTAGTTTTTATATAGTGCTTTAAGGTTTGCAAAAGGGCCTTACAAATATTTTCTAAGTTTGACCCTCACAACAATTCTGGGAGGTAGGTACTATAATTATACTCCTTTTACAGGTGAGGAAACTTAGGTAGAGAGAGGTTAAATGACTTATCCAGGTTCATATAGCTAGTTCATGTTTGAAGCTAGATTTGAACTCAAGTTTT